AAAGTGAAAGATTTATACTACAGTTTCTAGTCATTCTCTATCCAAACTAAGGCCAGCAATTACTTCCTAAGGATCAAAGGAAGTGATTCAAGTCCATAGCCGAGTCCCTCGTGCGCCAGAACGCAACATCTCAACTACACCGATTGTCATAATTGGTAGACTTCTAAACTTTGATTTCATGCGTTTTCAATCATTGCTAACATGTTAAATCTGTTCATATAAACCATTATAATATGTTTGACGCATTACATGTGAGGTTTGACGCAGGAATCACGTTTCACCATGGTTAGGGCACTAGTATTAGTTTCATTTGAACCCCCAGTTACAGTTGTTTTCAGGCCAAATAAACATGCCCATTGGATTCGCATGGGTCTAGTTATCTAATCCAGGTTATTAGATTTTGTTTTTTAATCAATTTTGGCAGGTTTTCAAAAAATTCATCATCGGAGAAGATGACCTCCTCCTCCGCGTATGGTGGTCGGAGACAACAAGGGTTGCGTGGCATCTTGCCACTGGACCATTCAAACACAGAGGTCCCACTCAGGCGTGCACTTTGAATTGTTTGACTTTTGAGATCTATTATATATTATATATTAATCGTTGCATTTATATGAACGGATGTAAAGACCGCCCCAACGGTAGAAGTGAGCATTATTAAGGTGTTAGTATACTAGGGCACGGGTTCGATCCCTGTCTCTGGTATTTTGAATTTTTCGCATCTTTTCTTTGTTTACATATCTAATGCAAGCATCCTCCACGCGCTCACCGTGCAATCTCACCTCATCACCATTGGATCTTCACAACCCCAGATCTAGCGTTTCAGATTTCCACGCCCACATTGGACCCTCATTGGAGAGCAACATTGGCTCCCATTCAAAGTCTGGGCTTACATATTTGGGCCAAAGCGAATTTCTTCCAGCACCCCCCTGAATTTACTTCTTCAGACCCATTCCTTCTTCTTTTTTTTACTTTTTTTTTAATCTCTTCTTTTAATATAATTAATTTTTTTTCTCTAATTAATTAAAATCAAATTAACTTGACTTTTTTTAATTAAATTTATTTTTTCTTTAATTAAATTAATTGAAATAATTAACTTAGTTTCTTTAGGGTTTTTATTATTAAATATTTTTTCAATAATAAATTTCTTTTCTAAACTAAAATCAATTAGGTTAGATTAATCATCAATTTTCATCAAAAGGACGATCACAAAAAAAATTTACTCCATTTCTCTTTACTTTTACAATCTTCACGCGTTCTCTTACTTTCGCGTTAGATTTTTCACAATAATGTATCTGCTAAAGGTTGTAATAGTTAATTAAGTTTTTTATCGCTTTCTTTCTTTCCCTCAATTTTATGGTTTTGTACCCCTTTCGCCGAAGCATTGTAATAGCGTAGGACTTTTATTTTTTGTTTTTGCCGCTTTTACTTATTACTGTATAATAATTATGTGTGTATGACAAGATTTAAAATTAACCGTTAGATAACCATAATTGCAAGATAAATATCTGAAATGAATCACTCTTCACACTCGCAACCCTAGGGTGACTCCACTTGTTGCCTTCGGAAAATAGTCATGTCCCTCGAATATGGGACGCTTTATCAAAAGACCCTCAGTTAAAAAAGATCGCAGTTCCTCGATGACCCTTCGATGCTGCCTTCGGTAAATGATCTTAGTCCCTTACGATAACATTGATAAAGTGCCCTACAAGTTGCCTTTATGACTGTACGATGACCAACACATGTCCCTCAAATATCCAATAATAAGGCTTCCTACTAACTAATGATAGGATAACACTATCTAAAGGAGGAGGAAAATAACACGAAAGACATTCGAGTAAGGGTAGAATTGTTAATCGCTTGCTCACATAAGAAAAACAAAACATTTTCACAAAACACTTCTTTTCTGAAATATTTTCAAAAATAAAACATTTTGTACGCATTCTCAACGATACGAGAATCATTACAAAATTGCCACACTTAGGCATTTTCAAAATATTTTCAAACACACAAAGCATTTTCAAAAGTGAGCTAGCGATTAAGAGCCCGTAGATAACTACTGATGAAAAGGGTGCTAATACCTTCCCTTTTCATAACCTACCCCCCGAACTCAAAATCTTTAAAGGTCTTTCATATTCTTTTCACCCTTTCCTTATTGGATAAAAGAAAAGTCGGTGACGGCTCTTGCTAACCGCAATATTTGTGATAAAATGCAAAAACAAGTCAGTTCTCCCACCGTATTACAGAATGTATGAAGGTATCTTTGGTCTTTTGTATTAAGGAAGAAGGAAAACGGGGAAGATAATTTCCCAAAGACGACGCCACTAATCTCCCCTGTTGATCGGAATCTGAAGTGGGTCGAGAAGATGACGTCTGCTTGATTATAATTTGAGGAGGGGAGGAGGGGTGTACCTGCAAGGCACTCTGACGCTCAAGTAAGAAATATTGCAAAGAGATACAAGAAAGGGATTAAGATTTTTTAGAGTAAATATTGGATACCCGGCCCTTGCAAGTGTGAGAGTTTATATAATCTCCCTGACGCTTGGCCATTGGTCCCTATTGTTGGGCTTGGATATTCAAGTCCGCAAAAATAGATAACTGCCAAGACTTGGTCAAACTGGGCAGCCGTGCCCATAACTAGTTGTTGCTCGAAGCATGGGTGGAATTACGGGCAGACATATTATGGACGCTTCCTAATTTTCTGCTACATATGTGTCGAGTAGACCGGGGAGGAAGTTGCCGATACGGGCATGTGTAAGGCTCAGGGCGTTGCCGGTGTTGCTCTGCTTGGGGAGCAATCGATCAGCATTGCCCGATAGAGGACCAGAACTAGTGGACCAGAATTATTGAATCACATTAAATATAGACGTGGATTGAGTCAATTCTAATCATTGAGTCAATCCAAAACATAATTCATTTAAAAATGATCCAACTCATATTTAAATGCGATATCTAAGTGATAAAACAATAGTTTACCTTACCATCAAAATATCACAATCTGAAAATACTACATCTAATTCATATATATCATTATACAAATATAAACCTCCAAAACAACATTTTAGAAATCTCTTATATTTCACTCATTTATAATCGAAGTGGGACTTAACAACTCCCCTTGCACTCAACATGAATTAGACCACCATAATCATCCTTTTTTATTTTTATTAAATCATGTAATTTAAACAAACCCAATGATGAACACGTGTATCGTTTTCTTCTGCATAAAACTTCACCACATATCAAAGTTTTGAGAAGGAAAATTTAGCGATGATTTGGTAAGCAAATATTTAAAGGTAAGTTATATTAAGTGATTGATAAATTATTATAGATTTGTCAATTAAAATTGTTATATTTTTTCATACGCATGGGTGCGAGAGATCAAATCTATGACAAGATATTAAAGAAACCTAAGCATCGATCATGTGAGCAAATTCTTTTGTGTAAATCTCAGAGGAATTTAACAAATTAATATTCTACATTTATGAACACCGCTTATCTAATAGAAATTCAAAACCAGTTACCATCTTCACGTATTGGTTTTTGTAATGGTAAAAGCATTGAATTAAACAAGAGTTTGAAGTAAAGAGAACATAGAAACATAAATTTAGAATTTAGGGGCTTTCAATAATATTACATTATATAATATTATTACACCCTATATATTTTTCTAAAATCCTATGAATTTTTTGAATTACTCCTTTTGCATCGCTTCAGTAATAAAATTAAATCTCTATGTAGTTTTTGATAATTATGACACTTGAAACCGCTAAGAATGTTTTTGTTTGAATGGATAAATCTCATACACAATTCATTAAAAATCAATTTTTATTATCTAAAAAATCAAACATATAATTGAACAAAATTTTCAATAAAGAACATGAATTTTATGACATTGCCAAATAACTCTACAAAATATATTTTCATTTGCCCCAGTTTTTAAAAACTATGTAGAAGTCTGAATAGTTTTATTCGAACGAAATAAATTGACTATTTTAACCTCTATAATTTTCAAATAATAAATTTATCTGGATAGTATTATTCGGAAGAAAAAAAACATAGGTTGTGTCTAAATTTTATTATCTGAACTGTTTAAAATGAATGATTTTAGAAATTCATTGTATTTAAGATAAATGAATAGAGTGTAACGAATAATCTCATGTCCTGAAGAATCAAACAAAATACCTAAATGTTCAGAGCCCAATAAATAATAATGAAAAAATTTATCAATAATTTTAATTCTAAATTAAAGTTAATCTTCTATATAATATATTTACTTTGTAATTCTTTTTCAATCATTAGGGGTGTTCAATCCTAACGGATTTAAATAAAAAACACAAAACTAATCCAAAAACAACAAAAAAGATTAAATATTATTAAATATATTTAAATGTTATTTTGTAAATATCCCATTTGTTTTGGATTAAATTTTGAATTTATTTTTTAAAATTAATCCAAACCAAACAAAGTGCATGAATATATTTTAATCTATGTTTTTTGACATAACACTTAATTTTTAGTATTTTATATTTCTTAATTTATTATTTCTTGATCCAATTTATTTATAATTTATTATAATTAATTATTTTGTCATTTTATTTATTTCATTCATAATCAATTTTATATAATTTTTTTTATAAACTATATACTATATATTATCCCAAACCTAAGTTTTTTAAGACTTATAAAAAATTAATCAAAAGATTAATTTATAATTTAAATATTTAAAAAATAATCTAAATTAAACCATATGAAATTGAATCCAACAAATTTTATTAAGTAATCATCTGTGATTGATCCAAACAACATTTATTGAAATAAAGTTTTGATACATTTAATTGTCTTACATATAAAGTATAAAACCATAGATATATATGGTTCATCCACCTAGCCTCGAAGAAACTATATCTTATTCATAAAGTTAAAAGTACATGCAAAAAGCACAAAGTACAGGTAACAGTGATTCATTTCAGGTGTGCAAGAAAACAGAAAAACTCATTCATCTAATAGCTTGACTTGAGCAAAATATTGGCCTCATCATCAGCTGCATGTATCTTCCTTGCATTGATAGTGACACTGATATCCTTTGCAACTCTCTGAGCATCATAATTAATGCCTTGTAACCCCCTTCTTGAGAATCCAACACCGTACACTCCATTCTCTCCTTTCCAATGATTTGGATAAGCAGCTTTTGGCATTCCATTTTCATTAAATAGCACTTTGTAATCCTGCGTTAAATTTGCAAAAGTCATATAAACAATAATTAATTAATTAACTTAAGAGTATTATTAATAGTATTAATTAAATAATAATTAAATTAATTAATATTGTATTAAAAAATTGAAAAAGTAAGACAAATTTTTTAGTAACTAAATCATTATAAAAGAGTGTGCTGTAATTCACCACCTTGAGCCACTTGTGCACATTGGTTCTGTATCCGGTAGCAAAGATTATGACGTCAAATTCACCAGTTTTTCCATCTACAAATTCAATGGTCTTGCCGTTTTTTATGCTTGAAATTTCTGAATATACCTGAATTCATAACAATCAATTTGTTAGGGTTCATTTCACATGACATTACAATAACAATATGCATCATAGTAGCCGCAATATTGTAACCCTCGCAACCGCATCAGCCACAACAAGTGCAATTTAAAACAATGTATTAGAATAAATTTGATTCCTTAATTACATATACCTTTATTTTTCCAGCTTTGATCTGTTTGATGGTACCAACATCAACAGTAGGAGTACGACCACCCTTCAGTTTCAAGGCAAAGGGTCCTTCCTTTGGTCTAACCAAGCCATACTTGGACAAATCTCCATACACCAATTTGCTCATAAAGAACATAAGCTTGTCCACATTTTCAACACTAAAGTATTTCAGCATAGTCATTCCAATGTACACCATTTCTTTTATCAAAAAATGCACCTATAATAAACACATAGAGACTCAATGTTATTAGATTGTCATAAATATTGAGTAACACAACATATAATATTTTTTTTAGAAGAAAAAGAGATGATTTACCGGACTCCTTATCACCATGGCGGTATTCGCACCCCAAGTAGAGAGATCATAACCAATCTCCATACCTGAATTTCCGCTACCAACAACCAACACATTCTTATCATAATAAGGCCTTCCATTCTGATACTTGTTGCAATGAAAATATTCACCTTCAAACTTCTCAAGCCGGGTTATCTTCGGAATATAAGCATCACAGCTCTCTCCCGATGCAACCACTAAATAATCAGCAACATAAACTTCACCAACATTCTTCACGCTATCCATCACACAAACCCTCCATTTTCCGGTGTTGACATCGAAAGAAGCTTCATGGACAAAACGGTTGTAGCGGATGAAGATCTTAAAAGTAGTCACATAATCATCCAAATAGCGAAGAAAATCAACCCTAGGGATAAACAATGGAAGATCAGATGAGAAAGGCTTGTGAGGTAGGTTACAAAAGCCTTTGCCCAAGTGAAGTTTCAAACGATCATAGGTTCTTTTCCTCCAAAGAGAGGAATGACAATCATCTCTTTCTAGTACAATATTTTGGATTGAAAGTTTGTTGAGACATGCAGAGGTTGCTAACCCAGCAGGCCCAGCACCTACAATCACAACTGGCATTTGGATTTCCATGGTTTTGTTTTGCATATTGTATTTTTCTTCATTCTGCACCTAAATTTATACTAGCTTACGTCTGCTTTTGGTTTAATGCTTTCATTGGTCATAAAGGGTTAATCCATTGAATTTCAGACAAATTATAATAAAAAAAATATATTTTGGTTTATTTGTTGAATAAATACAATGTTTTATTGCCAAGTAAGTATTAATAATATGAGGATTTATAAAATTGTATACTACAATTTTTTTATTTTTTTATTTTTGTAATCTCTTTAAGTTTTTATTGACACTTGTTAAAAAGTTTTTTTCTTTTCATTTTTACTTTGAAATGTAATTTAAGTTTTAATATAAAGTTTCTTTATCTTTTATTGACACTTTTCATTCTTTTTCATCTGCGGAAAGTTCTAAATTAGTTGTATAACTCAAACAATAAATATTTTAATTAAAAAATATATTTAAAAATTATAAAAGAAGAAGAAAAAAATCAAAAAATAAAACATAAAAGCAACCGAAAAACATAAAAGATCTCACATAAAAAACAATTAAACCCCACTCATAGGATTTAGACTAGATCTAATATAGCTAGGATGGTCATCATCTAGAAACCTCACCCATAACATTTATTAATTTTTTTATATTATTTAACTATTCCAATTATTATAGTTAATAAAATTATTTTAATAAATAATTAAATTTTATCATTAAAATTGATACAAATATTTATTATTATTTTTAAACTGCACACAATCTAAATAAGATACTTCTCGATAAATAAATATAATGTATTTGGCAAGGTTTTGCTGCTATACAAAAAGTTAGAATTTGTTCAAATCCAAAATTATTTATTTTCCTACCTTTTCTAATCATTGAGAATTGATTTTATACATCTTTTCAATATGTAATGAGTTTCTGCAAATTTTTATACGTTGAATTGTCTTCATTTAATTAATACTACCGTGTTCAATGATTCAGAAATTGATATTCTATGTAGTTATGAATGAATAGTAAAACAATTTTTTTAAAACTTTTTTTAAATAATTGTGTTTTTACTTTTCTAATGTATTATTTATTAACTTTTAGTTTAATATTTGTTTTAGTCTTTTAATTTAATTTAATATTTCGTTTCGATTCCTTAACTAAATAGTATTACATGTTAGTCCTTTAAAAACACCTTCGTTAGTCGAATTGGTCCTTTTTGTTAAATTTGGTAAAAAATTATTAAGTTATGTTAACGTGGCAAACTACTTGGCATTATTGTCTTACCTGTATTTTTTGTTTATTTTTAATTTATTATTATTTTTTATTGTAATTGGATCTAGTATAGAATTTTTTTTTGGAATAATCAAGTATTAAATTTTTTTTTTTGCAAATAATTATGTTTCGGAAAAAATTACACAAATAACCATGTTTCAGATGACTCTCCAAAGAAGGAGCCATCTCACTTGGCGCCTCCACTAAGCATTTAGCCCTAGGCGCCATCTCACTTGGCGTCTCCTCTCTCTTTTAGTCAAGTGAGATGGCGCATGCACTATAAAAGTGAGAGGAAGCGCCATCTCACTTGGCTCCTAGGGCAAAATGCTGTTTTTTATAAATAATTCGTCCGTTTCTCCGTCATTTCTCACACTTTCTCGCACTGTTTTCTTATTTTTTTACTCTGTTATTTGCGTCATGACATCGCCCATGATTTTTATCAGAGATGGTTACGTTATCTTCTCCGCCACAAAACTTCTGATGAAAATGAAATTCTGACACATTCACTCCATGGAGCGTGTGAAGCGGGAGTTGATGCGATGACTAGATGGAGACATCGTGGAGGGGGGAAAATTCGAAGGATCCTGCGAAGACGAACATCAACCTCACATGCGACAGAAGACCTAATATTTGGTTGGAGGAAGTCAAAACAGACAGCGACGTAATGTTGATGATGCATGGGTCAGATGATATTGTTTTAACAGTTGTAATTTCGTAGAAGGAATATCGTGTTTTTTCTTGTTCGCGCAATGTTTATTGTAACAAATACTGTTAACGAAAAACCCTAATGTTTACAACATAATAAAGGAAAGATTTTATGTAATACAATTTTTATGTGGTTGAGGCAGTAGCCCGATTCGGACAATTTTTGCGATTGTGTCCGACCTGGCGACATAAATCACACTTTCTTTCCAGCTTGTCAAGGGAGTCCATTTCGGTTGTGATGCGCTTACTTTTGGGACGACCCTTTTTGTTCCTTCGCATTTGGTCATTGTGCCATACTATTTTACCGTCGTATGCATGCCAATAATCTGGTTTTGCTACCAAAGGGAAGTTGTTATTGTAAACGTTGAGCAACGTTTCAGATTTGTAAATGTGTGACAGAAGTTGTAGTGCGTCTTGATGAGTATAGGCACACACGGCAATGACATGAGAGCAAGGCATACGAAAGGCTTGAAACTTGCCACAATCGCACCAACGAGAAGGTAGTATAACCCTATATTCTTATCTTGGCAGACCCTCGTTGTGGTCGATTGTCTCTTTCACAATGAAGTTGTGGCTGTGTCGGTCAAACCGTATAACCATATGGGTGTTGACTTTGGCACTTTCTGCCTTAATGTACTTCATGCAACTTTCACTCCATAGTTGTCCAGATTGCAACACCGCATTCCACATTTCACCTCTTTTGGCAAACAACGAAGCCATCCTAAAATATGTTGATTTTACCAAAGCAGTGACTGGGAGGTTTCGTATGCCTTTGAATACCCCATTCATCGATTCAATTAGATTTGTTGTCATGTGTCCCCATCTTTGGCCATTGTCGTATGACCTAGTCCATTTTTCTACCAGAATATTGCTGATCCACCTACCGGCTTCCGGATTTTACAAATGGATCTCGTTGCGGTAATATTTGAATGTAGGTTGTGTCAATGCATATCCCACATTCATAACCGCTTTCCTTAGTGTTTTTTCTTTGATCTCCCTCGTGAAATTTTGGACGATATGTCTAACGCAATAGACATGCGTAGAAGGAGGGTCATGCCAACCGTTTGCGGGATTATTGTATGCACTTTCAATGGATGCATGTTTATCCGAGATCAAACAAAGATCTGGTTGAGGAGCCACGTGTGTTCGCAGATTTTTCAAAAAAAAGCTCCAAGCACCACCAGTCTCCCCCTCGACTAGGGCAAAGGAAATTGGGAAAATGTTGTTGTTGCCATCTTGTGCAACTGCCATCAGTAGCATGCCTTTGTATTTCCCATACAACCAAGTCCCATCAATTTGTATAATTGGTTTGCATGATGCAAACCCTGTGATGCAAGGTTGAAATGCCCAAAACACTCGATTGAATATTCCATTTCCGTTGAGTTGACTACCATCCGGGGCGTATGCTGGCACTGTTTCCAGAATGTAAACACTACCCGAAGAATAATTCTGGAGTGCATTCAGGTAGCGAGGAAGTTCTTGGTATGACCCCTCCCAGTTTCCGTATACCTTTTCAATCGCCTTGGTCTTTGCTAACCATGCCTTATGGTAAGACGGAGTATAGTTAAAAACTGTAGTGATGTGGGAGATGATGGTTTTCACCTTCAAAGATGGATCGTTGCTGACGAGTGGTAGGATTTCTTGACAAATGAGATCGTAATTAAGTTTTCAATGATCCTGTGATTGAGTAAAACTGACACAAGTGTGGGTAGACATGGAACCTATGACCCAAAAATCACCTCTTAATGTGTATGATGCAGTGAGCTTGAACATACAATCAGGGTGGACACACTTGATCTTGTACCTTTTTGGGTTTACACGATCCACCTTAAAATCGATCGAGTTGAGCATGTGAAATTTTTTGATGGCTCTGATACATTCTTTTCTGTTATGAAACTTGTCTTTCTCTTTTAAGTTTTCATCCGACTGCATATACGGATTGAAAAATAAATCAGAATATGATTCATCTCCGCCTATGTTGAAGTTTGTCATGTGCGGAGGTGGTGTGTAGATCTCGTTTGCAGGAATACCAGGTATCCCATCGTCTTCGGAATCATCATTTACCATTTCGTCAAACTATAACTCGTCATCTTCTTCTTCTTCATCAACTGCATCTACCTCTGCTTGTTCGGTCTCCAAAGGATCAATCACTTGTGTCACCTGAGGCTCTCGCAGCATAATGTACAACTCAATAGAGTCGTACCCAGAATACTCATGACTGGAAAACATATTCTGAAGATCCTCATCATCTTGAACCTCAACCTTATAAAATATCATTTGGTTGTTACCAAAAAGAACTGGATTCTGATAAAATATTTGTGTCACCGGGCCTCGTCCAAGTTTGGCCTCCAATCATTTTTTGAAGTACAAGAAATTGGCTTTCCTGTTTAAACAAAATCGGATGTTGTCTGTGTCTCTAAACAAAAACCCAGAGGTGGGACAAATGTATGTCTCACCGTTGAAATGTGCACTGATGACATATTGGGGTGCAGAGGCCATTGCGTATGATTGTTTGAAGGTTTGAAGGTTAGAAGGTTTGAAGTTTATGAGTTATTTGAAGGTTTGAAGGTTTGATTGTTTGAAGGTTTGAAGGTTTTATTGTTTGAAGGTTTGAAGGTTTGAAGGTTTAATTGTTTGAAGGTTTGAGAGATTAAGTGAATCAGTTTTTTGATAAATGTAAGACTAAATAGGTCATGCTGAATTTGAATTAACTAAGGTTGTAACCTCTAAGGCTCCTCCCATCATGTCCAATAGTGTTACCTAACCTGTCACCTAGCTTACGCCTACTCTGCAACCCTACTCTTCTAATTAGTTTCCATAGTTAAATCTAAATCAATCGAAAACCTCCGTATCTCAACAAAATCTTTCACTTTCTCCACCTCTCAATCAAATCTCTCACTTTCTCTGTCTCTCAATCAGATGTTTGTAACCCTAGTAATGTTGCTTCTGTTACTCTTTTTATATGTTTGCTTTCTAGGGTTCGAAATGGAGGCTAATAACAAAGTGAAGACCAGTGATCCTGAAAAAGAGTGTCGCGGTGGGAAAATTTGAGATTAAGC